TTAATGATTTGCTGAAGCTACGATCCTATTCAGATTGTTTAAGCAATGCTTGACGATGGATATAAATAAAAATTCTTAAGTTAAGGTTCAACAACAACAACAAGATTCCATTTATAAAGCGCCTTTCACGTCAGGAGGACGTCCCAAGGCGCTGCACAGTTGGGTCATGACCCGAGCAGGGGGGAAATGGTCAGGGTGAGGGGAGGGAAGGGAGGGAGTGAGGAGGGGGGAAATGGTCAGGGTGAGGGGAGGGAAGGGAGGGAGCGAGGAGGGGGTAGAGAGTCGAGAGTGGAGCTGAAGGCACGGTCAAAGAGAAAGGTTTTGAGACCGGCCTTGAAGGAGGAAAGGGAGGAAGCGGCGAAGGCACTGGGGGACAGAGTTCCAGAGCCTAGGGGCTGAGAGGCTGAAGGCCCGACCACCGATGGTAGGGCGGTTGGGGCGGGGGACGTGGAGCAGACCGGAGCCAGAGGAACGGAGGGTACGGGCAGGTCGGTAGGGGGATAGTAGGTCGGAGAGGTAGGAGGGAGCGAGGCCGTGAATGGCCTTGTAGGTGAGGATGAGGATCTTGAAATCAATCCTCTGGGGGATGGGGAGCCAGTGGAGGGGAGCGAGGGTGGGAGTGATGTGGTCGCGGTGTCTGGTGCGGGACAGTACACGAGCTGCAGAGTTCTGAATGACCTGCAGTGTGGAGGGAGGTGGCGGGAAGGCCGGCGAGGAGAGAGTTCCCATAGTCCAGCCTTGAGGTGACAAAGGCGTGGACCAGAGTTTCAGCCGCGTGAGGGGTGAGGTAGTGCCGTAATCTGGCGATATTCCGGAGGTGATGGAAGGCGGTGCCGGTTGTGGTGCGGATATGAGGGAGAAAGGACAGCTCAGGGTCGAACAAAACGCCGAGGTTCCTGACTGGCTTTGAGAGGTGGAGAGTGCGGCCTTGGATGCTGATGGTGTCAGCGCCTGAGGTGCGGAGGCGCTGACGTGAGCCAATCAGGAGGGCCTCGGTTTTTCGCACGTTGAGCTGAAGAAAGTTGTCTCTCGTCCAGGACTCGATGTCGGTTCAGCCCCTTTCCCATCGGGATAGAGGATTAGCCAAAACACTTCGTAGGGTTTTCACCGTCAAGTGTAGTGACTGTGCGTTTAACATTTTCCCCTGTTTCGTGCATAGCGACGTCCCCGCGAACAGCCACGAAGCAAGCAAGCGGTTTTATCTGGGGGTTTGTTGGCCAGGACACCGAGAGAGAGACTCTAATTTCAGAGAGAGAGAGACAAATGTTATGCTTTCTGGGCAAGCAAGAAAATATAAACCACCTCCAGACTGCCTTTTTTTATTTAGTTCACTGTCGACTCCGTGAGAAATGTATTTTATTTTAAGGTCAAATTGAAACAAACCAAAAAAAATAATGTATACAATTCCTTGCAACAGCTGAAACGATCCGTTTGAAAACTGAAGGTAAATACTTGGAGAACATTTAGTTGCTTTCTGTCTTTTTTTAAGGGTTTATTGTGTAAAATCCCTGAATGAGTTGAATTCAACAATAGCAACAACTTGCATTTATATCGCGCACTCCACCACTGGATAGCGTCCCGGAGCACTTCACAGTGGCGGAGTCTGAAAACGAGCAGTGGGAGAGGGAGGAGGGAGGTGACCGTAAGCACGATCAAAATGGAAGGTCTTGAGGCGGGATTTGAAGGTGGGAGGGAGGGGTCAAGGTGGAGGGATTGAGGGAGAGTTTCAGAGTGGCTGAAGGCACGGCCACCGATGATGGAGCGGAGGGCACTGGGGACAAATAGGAGGCTGGAGCCAGCCGAGCAGAGTCGGTGGAGTGGGGTGGTGGGCGGGTGGATAGGTAGGGAGGTGCGAGGGATTGAAGTGATTGAGTTCAGCCTCAGGGCTGTGGTCAGTCCACACCGAGTCCAGCTGACAGTTGGTCACGTAGTTGGGCTTCCCAGAGCCTAAGGAAAGCCACAAGCCTGACCACCGGCGTTAGTGGAACCGCTACGAGCAGTGGTAAAACAAGCAGCTGAGGGGAGGGCGGGAGCTGCCGTGTGTGGGGTGAGAGGACAGTTACCCAGAGAAGCCGAGCTGCTGAAATTTGAAATGAAGCACATATTGACAAAATGACAGAAACGGGTTTGATTTCACTTATTTTTGATTTTGTTTTAGAAATAGAGACTTTGCGGAGCAATGGGCAAGAAAAGGGTTTGTTTAAAGGCTTTCAAATCTGTTCCGATAACAACAATAATAACATTTTGTGTGTTTGGTACGGCTGCTTTCACACGGAAGGGCGTTGCAAAGCGCTTTGCAGGATTTTATTGCAAAGTGTGGTGACTGTGTGTGTTTTACTGCAAAGTGTAGTGACTGTGTGTCGTGCGTAGCTCCCATTTTGCTCAAATTGATGACCCCGCAAACAGCCATGAAGTGACTTTATCTGAGGGTTTGTTGGCCCGAAGTGACTTTATCTGAGGGTTTGTTGGCCCGGGAACCAGGAGAGAAGGAGAAACTGCTTTCTATTTTTCCAACATCGTGTGAGAGATCTTTGTCGTTCTCCCTGAACCAACCGCCGAGTGAGGTTTTCACATCTCACCAGAAGGACAGTGTCTCTGACAATGCAGCGCTTCCCTCCCCCAGGCCCGAGCATCATCTTAGACTGTGTGGGTTCCGAGTCCCCAGAGTGTGTGGGTGCGTGTGTGGGGTGGTGTGTGTGTGTGGGTGTGGGGGTGTGTGTGTGAGTGTGTGTGTGGGTGTGGGGGGGTGTGTGTGTGTGGGTGTGGGGGTGTGTGTGTGTGTGGGTGTGTGTGTGTGGGTGTGGGGTGTTTGTGTGTGTGTGGGTGTGTGTGTGTGGGTGTGGGGGGTGTGTGGGTGTGGGGGTGTGTGGGTGTGGGTGGGAAGGGGATGGGGATGTGGCTCTGACTCGTGCGAGCGACCGAACAACAGACTGAGACACTCACTAAGTCGTAGTGTCGAATATAATCATCATTGTTCATTTTTTAACCGTTGATTGTGTGTGGATATCATTTGCCTCAACAGATGCTGCAATTGAGAAGCTGCAGAAACGTAATTCCTCTTCAATTAATGTTTTATCGAAGATCATCCGTGTGAAGCTCCAAAGTGTTTATTTCTGATCGATTATCACTGATGGAACGTGTGTCAGTTTCCTAAGCTGCAATGTAAGTAATTATTGTGCTGTTATTTTCAGAGCTGGACGAGAAGTGTAAAAGCAGTGGTGATTATCAAAGTTTTTCATCCAAGTCTGTGGTCACCTTCCCCCCACCCCACAGCCCCATTGGCTCATAGTCAAACTGCCCCACTGTTCACTCCGAGACCCTGGTCCGTGTAAACACAAGTCCTTGATAATGTTGCTGATGAAGTTGATGCTGATGTTGCTGATAAAATGATAACAATAATAATCCTCGCATTTGATACAGCGCCTTATCACGTCATCGAGACGTCACAAAGCGTTTCACAGAATAGACTGTAAAGTGAATTGACTGCATATTTGTGGGCGAAACGTGGTAGACAATTGCGCACAGCAGCGTCCCCACAAACAGTCGTGGATTGAGGGATCAAATTATTATTGGTTTTTTCAAGGGATTATTATCCCCGGAAAAGTGATCTGCCAATCGACTAACAAGCAGGTTCCTACTTATAATAATAATAATAATCATAATAATAATCCTTGCATTTGATATAACGCTTTTCACGTCGGGAGGACGTCCCAAAGCGCTTCACAGAACACACTGTAAAGTGAATTGACTGTATATTTGTGGGCGAACGCGGCAGCCAATTGCGCACAGCAATGTCCCACAAACAGTCGTAGATTGCTGCTTGGTAAACAGGTAAACAGAGCTGTGTGGAGTAAGGAAACTTGCCCAATATTTTGCCCTGCCCGGGAATCAAAACCTCTCGCCTGCGAGGCGAGTGCTCTAACCACTGAGCTACAGGACTCCTATGATGATGATGATGTTGTTGTGTTGATGATGATGATGATGGTGGTGGTGATGTCGGTGATCATATTGATGTTGGTGATGATGATGATAACGGTGGTGATGGTGACGATAATGATGATGATGTTTTTGATGATGATGGTGGTGATGATGATGGTGGTGATGATGATGACGGAGATGATGATGGTGTTGACGATGATGATGATGTTGGTGAAGTTGGCGCACACAAAATTGTGTTTGTGGGTGAAGGCAGCAGCTGGTTGGCGCACAGTGATGATGGTTCATTGAATGTTGTTGGGGTTTATTTTTACAAATTATTTTCTAGAGAATTTGTCTTTTGTGGAAAATTCAAAGATCTGACAGTTTCTGGTGCGTTTTTGTTCTTTCTCAATCCCACAGACGTCCGCCTTGCAGAGAAAATTATAGGTACAAAGCATAGAAACTCTGATTATCTAGTTACAAGTTATTCTATTTTTGGTAACCAAGGAATTAAACACCCAAAATTTGTAAATATTAATGGATCCCAATTTACGTTTCAAAGCCAACAATGACTGTGTAATTAATGTTTACAAATGAATATTAATAATGATCCGAATGATAACTGTAACAGTGAGAGCATGTTAAGAGCTTCAGAACCAGTACAGTGTTCTTTCCGCTCACTAATATACACTTAACCAGTCACCTTGTGCTGAACAACGTCTCAAAATGGGGGGAGGGGGGGGCAGGGTAAGTGGAAGTTAATCTCAGTGAGTAGGTATATTTTAGTATAGTTTCCAAGAGAGGCAGAGACAAATAGAGAGAAAGAACGAAATAGAGAGAAAGAGATAAACAGAGAGAAATAGAAATAAGAGCGAGAGAGAGAGAACAAGAGGAAGCAGTTTCTCAATTTTTTTTTCGTTTATCAGAACTTGAGACTGCGAACAAAAACTTAAAAGAAACCGGTGAGTGAAACATAAGCAGACGCTAAAATATTATTGGCGGAGTCGATAGGGAGGAATTATTCCCACCACGATCAGGGGAGTCAGTGTGTTAGAGGACGTGGGGGTAAGGTATCCAGTGAGCCGGCAGATGGGGGGGGTGGGGGTTGGCGGAGGAGGTCAGGAGAAATGTTCTCAAACACAGAGCGGTTTGGACACAAAAGGGATAGATATCTAAACCAAAGGAGGAGCAAGATAGATATCTGAACACAAGGAGTAAACCACAGGGGTATGTGGGAGGCAGGTCATTGGGAGTGAATTGATTTGCTCTTTAAAAGAGCTGGCACAGACACCAGGCACTGTTTCTGTGTGTGAATGTCTACAGTTCCGCCTTTGATAGCTTTGTGTGGAATATTTTGCAGAAAAAATGTTACTTGGGAAGAACGAAGGTTGGTGTTGAAATCGTTTAAGATGATATATATAAGATTATAACTGCCAGAAGCTTCGGAAATTGGAGTTTACTGTGGAGGAAAACAAAATTATAATTTAACAATCAGATATTAACCTCTGTCTGTCTGTCTGTGTGTCTGTTTGTCTATCTATCTGTTTGTCTGTCTGCCTGTCCATCTGTCTCTCTCTCCCTCTCTCCCTCTCTATCTCTCTCTCTCTGTCTTCCTCTCTTGGTGTCTAAGGGATATATATTTTGGGAGATTTTTGAAACATTTTCTGTTGCGTTTTCAGAAGCGAGGAAGTGCAAGGTGGAAAGTGAAAAGACAGGTTGGGAAAATGTGGATTATTATATGATTATTGGACACAGATCTCAGACTAAGAGATCATTACTCACACAGAATTGATGTTAGATAGATGGTTGTTTTCTGGTTGAAGTGTTGATGACAGCTGTAGTGGCAATGTCATTTGCTTATATATGATATTTCATGTAATATTTGTATATTCATTTGTTTTTGTCAACAGCTGCAAAGCTTGCTGACAAAGAGAGCGGTAACTTAAATGATCTCACAGCGCAATGCATTTAACCCTGTTTACAATCTTTGTGTCTCAGTAATAATGTTTTCAGTGTAGTTATTATTATTAATATTCACAGCACGTATCACTCGTGGGCCTAAGTTACTCGCGCTCTCGCCTCCGAGTCAGAAGACTGTGGGTGCTTTAACAATTGTCGTTATTTCAAGACCTTATTATTATTCCTAATAATTGGGAATGGTTGTGAAAAACCTTTTTATGCATACCTTATAGAACTGGAGGCTTTGGAAAAGCAGAATAAAGAAGCAGGTGGATGGCATCTTGATTTTATTCAAAGTTATTTTACTTTCAATTTCCGATAGTGGCCGATTATTAGTTTGAGATAATAGTTGTGATTGTTACAATTTTGTGATGCAGAGTCTGGTTTATATTTCTAACAGATAACTCACTGAATACAATAGCAAAATGTAAGTATCCAAACTTCCCTCACATGATACCTGTTACATTTGTAAATATTTATTATTTTCGATATAATCTGCTCATTTCGACATCCCTTTCCCCTCCTCCCTACCCCTGTTTAAGCAATGATGAAAAAGTTATTCTCTCCCATCGTTCTTTGGATAAGGCCTTCTCCAAATAAGACCCGGATAAAATTTTCAGACAAGCCTAATTGTGTAAAATAGTGCTTTCCTGTAGCATTCTGGTTAGAGGATTCGACTCGCAAGCAAGCGGGAGGACCTGGGTTCGATTCCCAGGCAGGGCGAAACCTTAGGGAAGTTTCCATACTCCACACATACACCTCTGTTTACCCAGCAGTAAGTAGGAACCCTGTTGTTAATCGATTGACGGATCACTTTCCAGGGGTAATAATCCACTTTTTATGGGTCACTGCTGTGCACAATTGGCGGCCGCGTTTCGTCCATAAAATACAGTCACTCCACCTTACACTCTATTCTGTGAAGCACTTTGAGACATCTTCATCGATGTGAAAAATTGCTATAGCAAATGTAAGGATTATTCTTTTTATTCTAGACGTTACACTTCAGTTCCCACGCCACCCCCTCCCGGCCGGTGCTCTGTTTAGGATGAACATGAAAGATGTTCCTTAGTACTGTCGGGAAAAGAGAAGGCCATCACTCTCTCTTCCCCTCTCTCCCGGTATCCTGGCCAATAATCCCTCAGACGAATGTCTTCACTCGCATCGCGGCGCTGTCTCGTTTGCCCCATAGAATACACGCAGTCACTACACTTTATAATGAACAATGTCAGACAATCTCAAATACATATTAAATATGAGGGTTTTCATGTCATTATTACTGGAATAAAAGCTCGTTGCTTTTACATCAGTTGCAGAGAATTGTGAGAAACGAATGAAACAATTAGGTAAAGTGTTTGATTTGATGTTTACTCCACAAACTGCCGCTACAATGGAAAACTGGTGTCATTGAAGCTGTTGATGATGTTGGTATCTTTGTTGTTGATCGTTTTGATATTGATGTTAATGATGATGATGATGTTGTTGATGATGATGATGATGATGTTGATGCTATTGTTGATGATGTTGATTTTGATGTTGTTGATGTTGATGATGATGATGATGATGATGGTGTTGATGATGATGTTTACGTTGCAGATTCAATGTGCTCCAACTATGAGGAATCTTTATTCGTTGCTGTTTATAATCCACGTAACTGATAACGAGACGTTGTCGATTCATTGAATGATTTTGTTTCCTTGTTATTTGTAGAGGCAGAGAAAAAGGAACTGGACAGAGGTAAACATTTACATCAAAAAGGTCACCAACATGGCGTGGGGGTGTAACCAGGGACACAGTGTAAGATAGTGAGAGTGGGAGGGGGGAGGGGGGGGGGCTGCCTTTCAGGCTGTTCTTCTCGAGGTAGTGAACGTGATTTAAAGGAATTGAAAGGAATTTGCTCTTCTGTCTCCAGAAGCGAAAGAGACGAATAAAAAATACAGAGAAAAAGGTGAGAAAGAGTACAGAAACATGACAAATCTACATTTCTAAAGTCCTTCGCAGCTGTTAGCGGGACATTTGTGCAAATTGACTGCTGCGTTCGTCCCCAAATCGCTCATTGTCTGCACCTCAAAGTGAACCCTGTGAAGCACTCGATGACTTCCTCCAGCCACGGAAAGCTGCTCTTCCAAATGTAAAGATTATTATTATTACTTTCCTTATTTTGGGCTCAATAGAGGAAGAGTTAGATAACAAGCAGAAAGGTGAGGTTCTTGATTTTGTGCGTCCCTCACCCCCTCCCCCACTTCGCCGTCGGCAACCGTGCTTTCAGCCCCCACAGATTGGACCCTCTGTCACTCCCTGCCTCTAACCCCCACCTCCCCCACCCGCCCGCTCGCCCCCTCTTTACATCCCTCCTGAAGACTACTCTTTGAACACATCTACAGTCACACCCCTCCCACCCACCACCCCCACCCCCCCAACCCCCCTCTCTCTCTCTCCCCAGCTCAGGGTCAAGCTCCACCACTGTCCAGCACCCTGAGCAGTGTGGTTGTTGTGGTTGTTGTTGTTGTTGTTGTTTTAAAGCTGTTTTTTTCCCCGTCATTAGAGATTGACGCAAAGTGTCAAAGTGACGGTGAGTTTAGTTTTAGTTTTTTTTCTATTGAGAAGTGATTCCACGCGCTGCGTTAGGGGGTCTCTGTGAAAGCGTTCGCAGTTTACAAATGCCTCCTGTCTCCTGCGGCGACTTTTCTTGTGTGGAGTCATCTCAGATCTGGTTTCTAAATCTTATATTATATCAATGATAATGACTAATATATTATAAACCTCCTGGCCCTCCAGCCAGAACACCTGGGAGAGAGCGAGAGAGAGAGAGAAACTTAACTTTCCACACGGTGCCGGGGGAGATTTTTCAGACACAGAAAGAGACAGCGACAGTCAAAGCAAAAGAGGCAGAGTGAGAAAGGGCTGTGTGGTGTATCTATTCTCAGTAACTATGCTTATTTTGTCCGCAAGATATATGCAGTCAATTCACTTCACAGTATATTCTGTGAAGCGCTTTGAGATGCGTCGAAGGCATGATAAGGCGCTGTATCAAATGCAAGGATTATTAATTATGATTATTTTCATAATCGATGACAAGACCTGAAGAGGCGAGAGGGTGAGGTTGTGGGAATACTGGAGGAAACAGATAGACTAATGCAGTTTCAATCTCACAGATGTTCACCTCGCTGAAAAAATTAAAGGTATTATTTTCAATTCCATATATAATATTGAAAGAAAATAAAAATTGTATTTTTTTAATAATATATTGTAATAAGCTTAAACGTTTATACAGAGAGTGAGAGCAGAGAGTGGTGGGGAACGGCTGTCGTTCTGACTGGAGGGAAGTGTGCAGTGGTGTCCCCGGGGGTCAGTGTTGGGATCATTGCTGTTTTTGATCGATATAAATGATCAGGACTTGGGTATTGGGAGTACAATTTCCAAGTTTCCAGATGATCCTACGCGAGGAACAGTAGTAACCAGTGAGGAGGACAGTAACAGACTGCAAATAGATATAGACTGACTGGGAACACGGGCCGACACGTGGCAGATAAAGGTTAATGTGGAGAAATGTGAAGTAATGCATTTAGGGAGGAAGAATGCGGAGAGTCGATATACGCTGATAGGACAGTCTTAAAGGGGGTGAAGGGACAGAGAGACCTGGGGTAAATCTTTGAAGGCGGCAGGATATCTGTTAAGCTGTTGAAAAAGCCGACTGGATACCAGGCTTTATAAATAGGGGAATGGAATACACGTCAGGAAGTTATGATGAACCTTTATATAAAACACTGGTTAGGCCTCATTTACAGACTGGGTTCAGTTCTGGGCACTGTGCTTTAGGAAGGATGTCAAGGCGTTGGAGAGGGTACAAAGGAGATTTACCAGAATGGTATCAGGAATGAGGGACTTCAGTTATCAGGAGACGGTAGAGAAGCTCGGATTATTCTCCTCGGAGCAGAGAAGGTTAAGAGGAGATTTAGAAGTTTTCAAAATTACGAGGGGATTCGATAGGGTGAACAAGGAGAAACTATTCCCACTGACGGGTGGGTCGGTAACCCGAGGTCACCGATTTAAAATAGTTGTTAAAAGAAACAGAGCGAGTTGTTGGGATCTAGAATGCATCGCCTGAAAGTGGGGTGGAAGCCGATTCGATAACAGCCTTCAAGATAGAAGTAGATAATTATTTCGGAAGGACAAGTTTGCAGGGCTTTGGGATGAGAGCGAGGGAGTGGGATTGACGTGGATAGCTGTTTTCAAAGATCCGGCACTGACCCAATGGGCCAAATGGTCTGCTTCTGTGCTGTATAACTCTATGATTCTACGATATAATAAAACTATATTGATATTAAAAAAAATCATTTTGATTCTCAGAATTTCACAAAGCGAAAACACGTTACAAAGAAGCAGGTGAGCGAAATGTGTATATATAATATATATCATATGTATATAATATATATATGAATAAATGTGTCAAAAATAAATATCAATATTGGAAACAAAATGTTATTTTTTGAAATGATGGTACTCTCTGCCTTAATCCCTCTGCATTCCCTCTCTTTACCCGTCTTGAGCTCGGCAGTGCCTGCAGTCACCTACCCTCCACTTTTGTCTGTCTCTGTCTCTCTGTCTGTCTCTGTCTCTCTGTCTGTCTCTGTCTCTCTGTCTGTCTCTGTCTCTGTCTCTCTGTCTGTCTCTGTCTCTCTGTCTGTCTCTGTCTCTCTGTCTGTCTCTGTCTCTCTGTCTGTCTCTGTCTCTCTGTCTGTCTCTGTCTGTCTCCCCGCTTCTGCCCAGTTCTCCGAGGTGCTGCCCCTGCCTGAAGGCAGTTTGTATTCCCGCGTTGTTATTTTTGTTGTGTGCTGTTTTTCGCAGAGCAAAACCTTGCCCTTGTGAAGCAGGGTGAGTGGTTGGGGAAATCGTCCCGAATCAATTCGCTTAAAATCGCTGATCTTTTAAAAAAATTCAAAACCACTTTATTGATGCGGTTTATATGGGTCTGATTTGCAAATTCAATCTGATAACGACAGAACGCTCATTTGTGAAGAAGACCATTTGTTTATACGCAGTCTAACTTATTAGGTTGAGGAAATCTCCATTCCCCACTCTTACCCCTCTCACCTCCCCTCTCACCCCACTCACCCCACCCACCTCACGCCCCCCCCTCACCCCTCCACATCACCCCCCCACACCACTCACCCCCCCCACCTCACGCCCCCCCCTCACCCCTCCACATCACCCCCCCACACCACTCACCCCCCCCACCTCACGCCCCCCCCCATCTCACCTCCCCTCACACCCCCCGCACCTCCCCCTCCCCCTACCCCTCTCTCTGCCTCGTTGATCATGTCTAATACAACTCCAACCTGAATTACCTACAGTGTGTAGTCCTGTAGCTCAGTGGTTAGAGCGCTCGCCTCACAAGCGAGAGACCTGGGTTCAGTTCCCAGCCGGGCAACACATTGGGTGAATTTCCTAACCCCACACATCTCTGTATACCCAGCAGTAAATAGGAACCCGGTTGTTAGTTGATTAGCGGATCACTTTTCCGTGTGTAATAATTCCTTCAAAAAAAATTGTTCACTCAATCCGTGATTGTTTGTGGGACGCTGTTGTGCGCAATTAGCTGCCAAGTTTCCCCCACAAAATATATACAATCAATTCACTTTACAGTACATTCTGTGAAGCACCTTGAAACTTCTCAAAGATGTGATAAGGCGCTATATCAAATGCAAGGATTATTATGATTATTTTATTTGATATTTTCCTTTTTTTTCAGATCTGGCCCTTGTCCGATCAGATCTCCAGAAGAAAGGTACAAGAGTGGTTTGCATTTGTAATTTGTGTTATTAAAGTTATTATGATTTATTATTGGAATGAGGTTTCCGTAACGAATCTAAAACGTTGCTAATAATGTTCTTAATCATTTTCTGGTGAGACGCTGTGCGGCGAATGATTTCCTATTAGAGTTGAGACGTTACTGTTTGTTGTTATGAACAGAGGATTCGTTGAACCTGAAAGAATTAGGTAAACTATCGAGACCCATGACTTTTAACATTTTCTGCTGTCTCTGTATTTCTATATGACGCACATTATCTAATATATAATTACAATATCTGATCTATAAGTAAACCAGGAATATTCGTCTGCAAAATATTTTTATAAAAATTGTGTAAAAGAATGTGGGTGTGGATGTAAAACTGCTAGATTTTGTGCTTTTAGCACCTGTTGTGGGCTGAACGGGGCAATGACTGTCTGGAACTCTAGACTCTAGAATTGACAATTGGGGAAGTAATTGCGAGAATGTTTCAGTGGAATTGTATTCATGTTAAAATGAATCGAATTTTCACTTTCCAGAACTGAGCAACTGTAAAAAAGATGTCAAAGCAGCAGGTGAGAAATTGTTTTTCGGGTCAATAGGATAAAATTTGCGGGGAGGGGGTGGGCTGCTTGGTGTGTGATACACACACATGCGCGAGGAAATCCTGCCTGTGATCAACCGGGTGTCTGGTACACACAAACACACGAAGCCCATCACTGATCATCCAGATATCTGATACACACAGATACACACGGACTCCAGTAGCTGTGAACAGTCGGGTGTCTGACACATACACACACACTAAACATGCAGAAACCTGTCACTGTGATCAGCCAGATGTCATGGACATAGGCGGAAACCTACCATAGTGCTTGAGAGTTCCATGTCTCAGATGAAATGCGCACTCTCTCTGGTGTAGTGACTGTGCGCTTTGCGGGCAACCCTGTTTTGCGCACAGCAACATTAAACGCTCCGAGACGCTGCCTCACATGAAGGGGCAACCAAGGTGTCAGGTTCAATCCAATTATCCTTCCTCCCCCACATCCGGTCCCTCACCAGCACCGCCTTCTTCCACTTCCGACACAGAGAGGATCGACTTCAAGATCCTCACCCCTGTATTCAAATCCCTCCACTCCTCTGCGCCCCCCGACCTCTCTGACCTCCTCTCTCCTCAAAACAGTACCCATTGTTTTCGTTCCTCCGGGTCTGGCCTCCTCCTTGTCCCCCGAGTCCTCCCTTCCACCTTCGGCAGCCGTGCCTTCAGCCACTATGCCCCGAGGCTCTGGAACTCCCTTCCTCACTCCCTTCGCGTCGCCCCCTCTCTTCCTATTTTCAGGACTCTGCTGAAGACCTTTCTTTTCGACCTTTGTTCACCTTCCCCCCACCACCCCCCGGCTCGGCCCCGGGATCCGTTACTGTGAAGCGCTCTGAGAAGCCATCCGACGAGGAGGGCGCTATATAAATCCAAGTTGTTGTTGCTGTTGCAAGTTGTTGTTGTCTCTGCATACAGTGATGGAGCGATTTTGTCTGGGAGATTGTCGGCCAGGGCACCGAGAGAGAGATTTTTTGTGGAATATTCGTGTTGTCCTCTTCATGATAACAATGTGCTAGTGTGTTTAAACATTACCTTTTCTTCTTAACAGAAGACAAAAATGCTCTGAGAAAGATAGGTAAACTCACATAACTGTCACATTTATTGGAAGCTTCGGTTTTAATTGTTAATGTTACTTTTAATCCTCAGGCTGCGAGATTATTTTTCTCAGATCAGTTGTAACATGTTCAGATTAGGGTTCAGATAAAGAAAGACCGTTGCCCTTTCCCCCCTCTCTCTTCTCCCCCATCCGATCTCATCCTCTCCAGAACACCAGCCCAACTGTCCCCCCCATCACGGCATCAAAATGCTTTTTAACCAGTCCCAGTGTCCTGGACTAAGCCCCCTTCCTGCCAACTCTTTGCCAGTCATTAATTCTTCTCACCCGCTCCCTTCACTCTGGATAAGGAACATTTCCTGGTGTCTGTCCGGTTTTACACATGCAAATTGTACTGTCTTACTGCACTCTCACAAACCACTCGCAATAATATCCTTACCTCTCCATTTAGTTCTTCTTAATGTTCCCAAATGACTACAGGATACATCCAAACCTTTACTGCTCAAAGTGGGAGCCATGTGTACGAGTGCAAAACTAGGTTTGAACAGTACGGAGATCAGCCAAGGAGTGGCTGAGCTCAGGGCACAGCCCAACTGGGATATCCTGTGCTTGTCAGTGTCATTTCTCTCTTCCTGGTGCCAGTTGAATGCCTACAGGTTTGATGCTCAGTTAAGATGCCATTGAAGCATCTTTGATCTCCGTGGAACAACTTATTTGCCGGTTTTAAAGGCAAAATACTGCAGGTGCTGGAAATCTGAAATGAAAATAGAAGTCGTCGGGAACACTCAGAGAGGACAGTGAGTTAATGTTTCAGGTTGATGACCTTTCATCAGAATCTCAGTCTTCAAAAATCCTGTTAATAAACAGATGAGACAATAGGCAGAGTTCTGACGAAAGGTCATCGACCTGAAAGATTAAGTCATTTTCTATCTCCATAGATGCTGCCTGACCTGCTGAGTGTTCCCAGCGACTTCTGTTTTTATTTTATTTGCTGGTTTGTTGTGTGACAGGTTTCCAATGGGGCTTCAGGGTTTGGGGCGGATGAGGACACCGGCAGTGGAGATGTGTAACATTTCTCTTCCCTTCGCAGAACTGGCCAATTGTCACACTGATCTGAAAAAGAAAGGTAGATAACTTTCCGTATATCAGGAGAAAACACTGCGAAAATCTCAGAATGAATTGTCTCAGCCTGTGGCTCAGTCACACTGCCTCATCATGGCTCCTGACATGGCAAGGTGCCGTGTAGAATGTGAGGATTATTATCAATAGAGTATACCCACTGCAGCTATACTTCCAGCCAAAGGAAAGCCTGGCTATGAGATCATGGCGGTCCTGAGGTTTCTGTCCAGGTAACAGTTCCCACTTGATCTCTTCCCAATTATGGTTGCCGGTGAATGTGATGAATAGGTCAGGTCGACTGTATGCTCGCACACAGAACAATGTATCCTGGGTTATTTGGTGCCTAAACCGTGCCCCCCTCCCCCAGCGAAATTGAATGGCAAGATGCCCAGTTGACCTATGTTGCCGGCATCACCATCGTTTATAAGTGCGTCCCTTAAATGAATGTTCTCCTCAGCCCTGAGTTTCTTCTGGATCAAGTGGGAACTAAAGGAGTCTCTCAGTTTCGATCTTGGCACACATGTCTGCGATGAATTGATGGCAGTGGTCTTTTGCACGCAGAAGGTTGTTGTAATTGCCTTCACGTTGCAAGAATCTGTGTGCATAAAGAGCCATAGCAGACAGCTTTTTGTCAGGCCTTGACTGTCCAATGCTGGGATTTGTTTGCCCTACCTGGAATTGGTAGCCATCTTCACCACATGTGAATAAGATTGGGCACCTCCCTACCCTTCAACCTCCTTACTCCCCAATCCATCACCCGGCATCTCCGCTCGACTGGCCCAGCCTCCTGCTCAACCCTCCCACCATTGGAGGTCAGTCATTACATCCAGAAACTTTGGAACACTCTTCCTCAATCCCTCCGCCTTGTCCCCTCTCTCCCCTCTTTCAAGTCCCACCTGAAAACTTTCCTCTTCGATCATTCTTGTAGCCACCTCCCCACTTCCCCCAAGTCGGAGTCAGGCTCCACCACTGTTAAGCCCTCTGAGACGCTACTCTGTGTGGAGGGTACTATATAAGTTGTTGTTGTTATCATATATTTAGATTTTCAAAAGGTGTTCGATAAGGTATAACATAATAGACTAATGAATAAGGTCAGAGCATGTGGAGTCAGGGGAAAAGTAGCAGAATGGATAGCAAACTGGTTACAAAACAGAAAACAGAGAGTAGGGGTAAAGGGTGGCTACTCAGACTGGCAGGGGGTGGGCAGTGGTGTTCTACAATGATTGGTATTGGGACCCACTGTTGTTCACAACTTACATTAATGATTTGGACTCAGGGATTGAAGTACAATTTCAAAATTTGCAGATGACACCAAATTGGGGGTGTAGTTAATACTGAATAGGACTGCAAGAAATTAAAACAAGACATTAATAAACTTGCTGAATGGGCACAGGTCACATACTGCCTGGAAAATAAGAATCTAAATGGAATAAAGGAGCAAAGGGATCTACGGGTACAGATATAGTAAAAAATGAGGTTAGTCTCAGATGTAAGATGGACAACATTAGTAGAGAATGACCATTAAACATTAGTTTATTTAACAAAGTTAAATATATATCCCAAAGGGTATAAAGGCCCTGGAGAAAATCCAAGGGAGATTTACAAAGATCATACCGGAACTGCGATGTTATACCTATCAGGAAAGGCTTGGACTCTTTTCTCTTGAAAGGAGAAGGGTGAGGGGTGATCGAATAGAGATCTTTAAAATGATGACAGATTTTGATAGGATAGACATAGAGAAGGTGTTTCCACTTGTGGAGGAGACCAAAACCTTCGATATAAAATAGTCACCAATAAATCAAATAGGGAAGTCAGAAGAAACTTCTTTACCCAGAGAGTGGCGGGAATGTGGAACTTGCTACCACAAGGAGTAGTTCAGGTGAATATCATAGATGCATTTAAGGGGAAGCTAGATAATTACAGGAGGGAGAAAGGAATAGAAGGTTATGCTGATAGGCTTAGTTGAGGAAGAGCAGAAGGAGGCTCATGTGGAGCATAAATGCCGCTATAGACCAGTTGGGCCAAATGGCCTCTTTCTGCGCTGTATATTCTATGTAATTCTATGTAAAAAGAGGTCATCTGGAAGCACAAATTTGTATTTGTAAGGTTTGCTAGAAAATGCTTAGAATCACTTAATGTAGCGTCTAGCAGACTGTTCAGGTGGCTGCTGCCGTTCGCCCACAAAATATACAATCAATTCAATTTACAGTATATTCTGTGAAGCTCTTTGAGACGTCTCGAAGACAAATTATTATTATTAACTTAACCTCCAATAATCATTTTAATAAACAGATGAGACAATAAGCAAGCAAGGGCAAGGTAAGTAGTTGAAACAAATTAATGCATCATATAACGAGCAACTTAAGCATTTTGTATTTGTTCTTTATTGATATGATAATTTTATTTTTTTTAAAAAAAGGGGGTTATTGGCTTTAACCCACCCTGTTCAAAGTCTGTCTCAAGATCTTCCTCCGTCACTAGTCCTTTCGTGCAAAGGTCAATCTGTTTTGCATGGCGCAGCTTAAAAGTTTGTTTTTCTGTCATTCTCAGAGCTGAAAAGAATGAAAGCTGCTGTGAAAGAAACAGGTTAGGATCGGAGTGTTGGATGAGGATCATTTTTTCTGGCAGCTGACCCTCTGCAGGTCTTGTCAGGACCAGATGAGCCTCAGTCACAGCAGACTAACGTTCGATTGCACTGTGAATATTCTTCCACCTGGAATATCAGGCATGTTTAAGCTATTTTTCTCCAATGATAAGTTTTTGGCACTTTTTAACTTTTGTTATCTTTCCACAACAGAAGAGAAATTGACGAAGAAATCGAAAGGTATTGTAGTTGCTTTGCTGTGTGTAAAATTGGAGTTACACAGACTGACCCCGGGAATATGGGCAACGGCGAGGAAACAGGACTTCTTTTAATCCCGCAACATGTTGACAAATGTTATGTTTATTATTATAATAATAATCCTTGTATTTGATATAGTGCCTTATCACATTGTTGAGATATCTTAAAGCAATTCACAGAGTATATTGTGAAGTGATTAACTATATTGTAGGCAAAATTAATCATTTTATTATTAATCTAATATTATTTACTATTGTGATTTTATGTATTCATTATTATTATTGTTGTTTTTCAGAGGTTGATAAAAAATGCAAATCCGATGGTGAGTTTAGCAAAAGCAAAAAAACGTTGAATGCAATAAACAAGTTCGTTGTGAAACACGAGGGAAGGAGGGAGGGAGGGGGCAATTTTATTTGATGGGGATTTTGGCTAAAATACCGAGAGAGAGAGAGGAACTCCCTATTTTTATATAGACATAGTGACCATTTATTAATATTTATTATTGTATAGCCAATAATAATTGCAACCACGACTGAGGTTTATACAATGGGGGAGTGTTTACAGACTGGAGTGATGGGGTGTGGAGTTTAGGGAGGATGCGGATTTGGGTGGGGGAATGAATTGCGAATGAATTGGATTTGTTGAATGGCGGAGCTGGGGAGAGAATGGCAAAGAGGAGCGCATTGGGAAAATCCAGGCAGGAGCTGACAAATGTTGGCCGAAATGTGGAGCAAGATTCCTTACTCAACACACTCCTGTTTACCTTGCAATAAATAGGAACCCGCTCGGTAGTCGATTGGCGGATCACTTTTCCGGGGCTAATAATACCTTCAAAAAACATAGAAATAGTAAATTGGTCACTTCAATCCATGACTGTTTGTGGGACACTCACTGTAGTGCGCAATTGGCTGCCTCATTTCGCCCACAAAATATACAGTCAATTCACTTTATAGTATATTCTATGAAGTGTTAGAGACGTCTCGAAGATGCCATAAGGCGCAATATCAAATGCAAGGATTATTATTATTAATTGTGTGGATAAGTAATTCAGCATAATTTAGCTTGTTATTGTTATTGTTGTTTAAAACAACACATTTGCGCTTTTATTTTTACTGTCAATGTTACAGACATTCGACTGGTTAATAAGAACGCAGGTCAGAGAAGTCACCACAACATCCTACAACTTTCATTCCTTCCCCCTGAAATAGTATCTTATAAGTTAATATAACAATAATTGAAAAAAACATACACATACCAGTCAGCGGTGTGGCTCACTTGCTCGCATTCTCACCTCCTAATCCCTCCACCCCAACACACGCTGTTATATTCACACACTGTTGTTCTTTCTGTATTGCTTATTAATTGTTTTTCCCTTCTCCCAGAACTGGAAACAATGAGGAAACGTGTGACTAATGCAGGTGAAGAAAAACATAATATTTTGTAGTTATTAATCAGTGTTATTTCTTTCAACCTCCTTATGTTTTGGTGGGAATTACAAGACAATGCCACATAAGATTTGTACAGCACCTTTCACGTCGGGAGGACGTCCCAAGGTGCTGAATTAGTTACGACCAACAGGACCAGACAACGAAATTCCAGCCTCCCTACAAACAGCTGGAAACTGATACAATAAACCCCAGCATGTGAAATATCATCTATCCACAAGCCCCCGTCCTTCACATGACATGTTAAACCTCACAGTCCAGTCGTCTTTATCATGTTCAGGTGGATGTTAAAGATCTCCCACGGCACTGGCAGGAAAATGAGAAGGGAGTTTCTCTCTCTCTCCTCTCTCTCTCTCGGTGTCATGAATGTCAATCCCCTAAATAAAATTATTCACTTGCTTCCTGACTATTCACAGGGACGTCGCTGTTCATAAAACAGGGACTGCCTGCGAAATGCACAGTCACTTCACTTGATGAGCTGAAGCACATTGGGCCGTCCTCTTGGTGTGAATAGGTGCTGTATCGAATGTGAGGAGCATTATTATTATTATTATTGGTGTAATTATTCTAATATTGTCATTACTAATTATTATTATTGATTATCCTTACAGAACTCATTATGCATTTAAAAATCAATGGTTGGTGTTGGCAATGTATTTATTTTTTTAAAAAAGTAAATGCAGTGAGATTTACAGCTGCTTTTTTAAAAGATATTTTCTACGCAAATATTTTCCACACATCTATTCCCCCCACACCCCTGGCTCAGGCCTCCCGCACGTTGTATACTGTGAATGTCCACATGGTCGCGATATTTAGGTATCATTTGTTTCCCGTTTCCTCCAGTGTGCTCAAACTGATAGATTAAAAATCTTTTGCTGTAAACATTTTAAAAAATCATATTAACCCGCTCAGTCATAACGTCTGTGGCTGTGACAATACCTCTTAGCAACTCAGAGGGTTTGTTTCTATTTTGATTCTTTTTCAGAGCTGAAACTTGTAAAAAGGATATTGGAAAAGCTCGGTAGATTAAACAGTTTCTAATCTTTAATGTAACCAATAACAACCTTTAGTTATGTCGCATTCAAATGAAATGCTGCACTGGTTGTCTTCTCTTTCTCTCTTTCACTCTCCGCTTTCCCATCTCCTGTCTGATAATCCCCCAAATCAGATTATTCTCTTTCTCTCTCTCTCTCTCTCTCTCTCTCTCTCGGTGAACTGGCCGATAATCCCACAGATAAAATCGCTCACTTGCTTCACAGCTGTTCGCAGTGCGTAAAACGGGGGCTGCCCGTGAAACACACAGTCACTACGCTTCTTGATGAAACTCCTGCCAAGCACTTTGAGACGTCCCCCTGACGTGAAAGGCGCTGTTCCAAATGTAGAGATTATTATTCTAGTTATTCTTCTTGTTATTCTTATTATTATTACTATTATCATTATTATTATAATTATTATTATTATTATTATCTTCCTCATCAAGATTACCTGTTTCTCATTACAGATCAAAATCTGCAAACAAGAAAAGAGGGTCAGTTTACATCATTTTACCGAACACCTGACAGTTTGGAAACTTCCTGATCTGCAGCTGACAGTGAAGCTTGTTTATTATCGCGCATTTCTCTGACTCGCTGTGCATCCCGTGAAGCGCTTCGGGCCGTGTGGCCCACGGGGAAGGCACAGGACACATACCGATTGGCAGGTTTGCTTTTCAGAACTCACCATTTGTAAGAAGAACGAGCTGACAGCAGGTGGGGGAAGCTCTGGCTCTCTGTGACAGCAATGCACCATCTTAACAATTTATGATATCACAACGTGTCTGCAGTAACTGTGCTCAGACACTCGCACTCTGTCCTCCAAGTTCGAGCCACACCTCCCCCCCACCCACCCCCCCAAACATTCAGTATTCATATAGTCTAAGCTGATGCTCCACGGCAGCACCGGGGGGAGGGAGCACCGCATTGTCGGAAATGCTGTCCTTTGGACTATATGTAGCTCCTCATTCCATCCCTGTCCTGCCCATCTGTGAGCAGTGCCACCTCATCCTCCTTGACCTCTCTGCTGCCTTTGATACCGTGGACCACACCATCTGCCTCCGCCGCCTCTCCTCTCACCTCAAACTTCAAGGTTCTGTCCTTGAATGATTCAGATCTTATCTCTCACACCGTCTCCAATTTATCTCCGCCAATGGTTTCTCTTCCTGCTCCCGCACAGTCTCGTGCGGTGTTCCTCAGGGCTCTGTCATCGGTCCCCTACTCTTCAGCCTGCTCATGCTCCCCCTTGGTTACATCATCCGCAGACATGGGGTCAACTTCCAAATGTATGCGCGTGACACCCAACTCTCTCTGCCTCCACCCTCGATTCCAGTACAACTGATGTCCTGACAGACTGTCTGTCTGACATCAAGTCCTGGATGGGAGCCAACTTTCTACAGCTGAATGTCAGAAAGACCGAGGCCTTCCTGATTGGTTCATGCCAGAGCCTCCGTACCTCAGGCAGTGGCAGCATCAGCATCCATGGTTGCACACTCCACCTCACCAAGCCAGTCAGGAACTTGGGCGTCTTGTTCAAACTGTCCTTTCTCCCCCATATCCGTGCCATGACCTGCTCCACCTTCCCCCACCTCCAAAAAATGCCTGACTCCGCCACGGCCTCACCCCTCAAGCCGCCGAAACTCTCATACACACATTCATCACCTCAAGGCTCCCTCCTTGTCGGCCTCCCCAACTTGTCTCTCCACAGCTGCAGATCATCCCGAACTCTGAAGCGCATGTCATCTCCGACACCAGGCTCCTTGACCCCATCACCACCATCCTTGACTGACACCCCATCCTTCAGAGGATAGAATTCAAAATCCTTGTCCTCACTTTCAAGGCCCTCCACGGCCTTGCCCCCTCCTACATAGTGGAGTCCTGTAGCTCAGTGGTTAGAGTACTCACCTCGCAACTGAGAGACCTGGGTTTGATTCCCGGCAGGGTGAAACCTTGGGCAGTTTCCCAAGAAAAAAATTAATAATTTGGTTCCTCAATCCACGGCTGTTTGTGAGACGCTGCTGTGCGCAATTGGCTGCCGTGTTTTGCCCACAAATATACAGTCAATTCACTTTACAGAGTATCCTGTGAAGCATTTTGAAACATCTAAAAGACGTAATAAGGCGCGATATCAAGTGCAAAGATTATTATATTTATTATTACATATCTGAATTGCTGACCCCCTATCAACCTGTCCGCTCCCCCTGCTCAGCAGCCTCCGCCCTGCTCCTGGTCTCCCACCCGACCAGCTCTCCAACTCTTTGGAACGTCATCCCACAATCCCTTCGCCTTGCTCCCTTGCTTGCCTCTTTGAAGGCATGACTCAAGACCCTCCTTTTCGGCCATACTTTCAGCCACTCTCCTACCTCTCTGCCCTTTCTTATCCCAACCCTACCCCCATCCGCCACTTGGGTCGTGATCTGCAACTGTTTAGCCTCTCGGGAAGTCCTCCCGATGTGAAAGGCGCTTTACGAATGTAATTTTGTTGTTGTTGTCCGTGCAGTCATTAAAGCTTGGGAAAAGAGAAGGGAATTTCTCTCTCTTTCTGTCACCACCGGTGTCTTGGCCGACAATTGCCCCAGAGAAAATCGCTCGCTTCACGGTTGTTTGCAGGGATGACCCTGAGCGCAAATGGGAGCAGCCTGTGAAACGCACAGTTACTACACTTCACGGTGAACATCATGTGGCGTGAAAGTTGCTGTATCCAATATTAAAATTGTTATTATAATTAATAATAGAGGCCGCCAGCAATTTGAGGCAGACAGGTAAACCGATTTTCTCTTTATGTTAAATTATTCATCAATGGAGTTTTCAGACCTAAATATTTTAACTCCATCAGGAGGGACTGGATAAGTTAGGCCTTGTTTTCGCTAGAGAAGAGACATTGATATAGTCTAAGCTGATACTGCAGCGCAGCGCTGGAGGGAGGGAGAGACACATTTCGGAGACGCCATCCTTTGGATGAGATGTTAAACCTCACTCCGCCTGTCTGTGTCCTGTTCCGGGCGGATGGTAAAGATCTCCTGCAGTGCTGTTGGGAAACAAGAAGGGGGTTACTCCCTCGCTGGATCTCTCTCCCAGCGTCCTGGCCGACAGTCCCCCAGGGCTGGCCGCTGTGTGCAAAGCGGTTCTGCCACCTTCATGTCAAATCTTTCACTGATGATCAACAATTAATAACAACAACAACTTGCATTTATATAGCGCCCTTCATGCCGGACGGCGTCTCGGAGCACGTGAATGTAATCATGTAACAATGGAACGATAATAACAATTCATTATTCATCCCATTAAAACAAACAATCCAAAAAATAAAAATAAAAAAACGCACAGCCCACCATTGGCGGGAGAGCCTTCAGCTACTCTGCCCCCAACCTCTGGAATTCCATCCCCCAGTCACTCCGCCTCGCCCCCTCCTTAGCCTCCTTCAATTCCCGCCTCTTCGATCATGCCATCGGCCACCCCTCTTCCCCCCCCCTCCCTTCCCCCCTGGACCCCAATTCGGGTCTGAAATGCTGTACACCGTCCAGGGCCTTGGGACATCCTTCCGACGTGAAAGGCGCTATACAAATGTAATCTTGTTGTTGCTGTTGTTGTTGGATGACTAACTGGAATCTGGACTCTCCAGAACTAGAAAATTGCCGAAACATCGTAAAGAACCAAGGTTAAAAAGTGGTTGTTGTTTTCTCTGATTCCACTCTCCCATCTGCTGCTCTCTCCATCCCGTGACTCACGTTCTTCATTGTTGAGTGGACAACCCCAGCTCTTTCCCCTGTACACGGCCAGAACTCTGCACCCGGTGCCCTCTCTCTCTCTCTTTCTACCTCTTCCCCTCCTTCTCTCCCCCTCTCTCTGTCTCGCTATTCTTCACTCTCCCCCCTCCTTCTCTCTCACTCTCTCCTTCTCTCTCGCTCTACCTCTCTCTCTCTCTCTCTCTCTCCCTCGCCCTCCTCCCCTCTTCCTCTCTCTCTAACCCTCACTCGCCTCCCTCTCTCGCTCTCCCTCTCTCCCCGCAGCGCCTTTTGTTCCACATCCTCGTGCTCAAATTGTCTGTGCAGCTGACGAGGTCTCACTGCTTTTTTGTCACAGCTGATATAATACAGAGCAGGAATGAAGGTGCGTAGTGGCAGATTTCAAACCAACACGTCTTTTATTTTACTAATTGTTGGGAACTTACAGTCAAAGACATGGCGACGGGGTTCCTACAGCAGTCACTAACAACAATAATCCCCACACCTGAGACCACCCCTTATACCCCCGGGAGGACGTCCCAAAGCACTTGACTGGTTTTCACTGTAAAGTGTAGTGACCGAACACCCTCTCCCCTCCTCCCAGCCTGCCTAGACATTGCTCGTAGCCGGTTTCTCCGACCTCTGGGCTTTGCTTCTGACGTGAAAATAGTATGTGAAACGTGAGGGTGAAACCGAATATCAAACAGCAAAGCACAACACAAACACAGTGGTGATCAGAGAGATTGGATTTTGAATTTTTGGAATTTTAGAACAGAAATATCTGAGGAAAGTGCTTCATGAAACAGGTAAGAAAGATCTACACCTGTCCCTCACCCCTCACACAGCAGATTCCATATTGGCTTTCAACAAGCAGGGACGAGACAGATATCAGAACAAAAGGGGGGCACAAGCTAGATGCTAAAGAAATGGGGAAGGAGATAGATAGCTAAACAAAAAGGAGAGAACCGGATAGGTAGCAAATTGGTCACTGAATTCACGACTGTTTGTGGGAAGGTGCTGTGCGCTAGTGGATACTGCATTTCACCCACAAAATATGCAGTCAATTCACTTTACACTATATTCTGTGAAGTGCTTTGAGACATCTTGAAGACGTGATAAGGCGCTACATCAAATCCAAGGATTATTATTATCATCTAAACAAAAAGTGGGGAGGAGAAATATATCTGAACAAAAGGAGGGAATGACGGGTGTGATTTACTGCGGTTATCTTATATGGTGAAATATTTGTTCCCACTGATCAGAGGATAAGCTCATTATAAAGGAGAACGGTACCCATCTCCATTTTATACATTTATAGAAACATCACCTCCTGGCAATGCATTCTTTCACTTGACCTTTACTGCTTCTAACCTGTTTAACACAAACATGTCCAAACTCCAGCCTAATAATTCCTTATCATTCTGTTCAGAGCTCAACACCAAATGTCCAAATACCGGTGAGGAACAGACTTTTTATTTCTGTTAAATCGTGCGCTGTGTACACCCTGCGTGACAGGCAAGGGAAAGCTCCCAGGACATACACACTGACGTTCACACACACATGTTCACACACGCTGACATTAATACACACTGATATTTACACACACTGATGTTCACACACGCCTTAATGCCTTTCCCCATCACCAGCAGGTCCCACAGTGACCACAGACTCTGATTCTAAAGTCCATTCATTTTTTCTCTTTCACAAAATGTTATTGAACATCTCTCATCATGTTTTTGCAAGAGACAAACAAAAGAGGAATATTTTTCTCTCTTATGGTCTTTCATTTTCATCAATTACACAGATAAGCTTCTCGTTGAGAAAACGGCAGGTCAGAGACACAGCTTTATACACTGTATAGTTATTTTTATTGTATTGTTATTACACACCGATTTTGAAGATGTTTTGGGAAAGACCTCGAACAACAAAATGTTTTGAGCCCCAAAAAATCGTGATTTCTTAAATTTATAATAAGGAATATGAGTAAAAGGTAGTAAAAGATGAAGCAAAAAAAAATTTCTCCCTCGCTTTCATTCTCAGAAGTGGACAAGTTGAGAAAACAGCACAGGACGTTTGGTGAGTGAAAACTAAACACCTGATCATAAAAGTAATCAACATTTCCCATCTCAG